GAGAGAGAGAGAGAGAGAGAGAGAGAGAGAGAGAGAGAGAGAGAGAGAGAGAGAGAGAGAGAGAGAGAGGGAGGGTGCGCATGGCCACACCCCGACCTACCGTTTTTGTTTCGGCCCAGGTGTGAACGGAAATCTCCACCTCTTCCTGCACAGCGCCCCTTTTCAGAGAGGGAGGGAGAGAGAGAGGGGGGTGCACTTGGCCTCATTTCAGGGTGCTTTTTTCCTGCTGTCTTGCAGTGCATCTTCCCATTGTATCCTTCTGTGGCACACAAGCACCCTCTGGGGCTGCGGGCGGAGCTGCCCCGGGACCACTTGTTTCTTGTAAAGAATTTTGCATCCACTTTCACATGTGGAGATCGCAAGGAGAGATGCAACGGGAGCACATGTGGTTAACCTGGACCCCAACTTTCAAAGCCTGGTTAGGTCTCCGTTAACAATCTCTCGACGGGGGGACAAAGGGAAGAGATGCAAATTGAACAAGTGAAAAGAAAGTGTTGTCCAAAAAATGAAGAAGGTCACAGGCTCAAATCTCCCAAGATGCTGAATTGTTCGGGAGAGTGGTCGAGTGGTTAAGAGACACAGAGTGTAAATCTGTTAAAGGTTATATTAATATATTTCTATGTAGGTTATTCAAACCGCCTGTATTGAAAATTGAAGTTGAAAAGAAGAAAAAGGTGGGAACCACTGAACGAAAAGTAATCACAAGGTACCGCTTGCGCCGTCGGGTTAGCGCAACACCGGTGCGCTAAGTCAGCGCGCCGGCGCGAGGAAAAACTTCGGTGCAGCGATATAGAGATGGAGTTCGCAATGAGAAATTGACGCGACGTAACGTGTAACGCGACGTGATCGAGAGATGTTGCTCGTGTGTTTGCCGTGATGGGGAGAGGTTGCTCGCTATGGCGTATTGACGTGATTCTGACGTGATTCGGACGAGATTCTGACGTGATGGAGAGATGTTGCTCGTGTGTATGACATATTGACGTGATTCTGGCGCCATTCTGATGTGATTCTGACGTGATGGAGTGATGTTGCTCAAGTTTACGACGTGATGGAGAGATGTTGCTCGTGTGTATGACGTGATGTGGAGAGGTTGCTCGCTATGACGTATTGACGTGAATCTGACGTGATGGGGAGATAATGCTCGCTATAACGTATTGACGTGGTTCTGGCGAGGGAGATGTTGCTCGCTATAACGTATTGAAGTGTTTCTGCACGGCATATCCTAGCAGGTGAGTTTGCCATAACTCAGAATCCTTGGTGCTGAGATATGGAGATGGGGTTCGCGATGTGGAGTTGACGCGACGTGATGGGGAGATGGTTCTCACTATGACGAACTGAAGTGTGACGCGACGTTAAGGGAAGAAATGCTTGCTATGACGAACTCACTATGACGAACTGAAGTGTGACGCGACGTAAGGGGAAGAAGTGCTTGCTAGGACGATTTGACGTGTTTTCTGCACGGCATATCATAGCAGAATAGGTGGTCATAATTCAGAATCCGCGCCGGAATTTGCGCGGGTGTGCTCTCTGAATTCGCGCCGAAATTTGCGCTGGGTGCTCGTCACATAATTGTGAAATCAATCGCGCTCACACCAGCGACTACATGGGATGATAACATTCGTTCCCGGGAGAGAGCCATCACCGACATTGTTTTCAGTGCAAGTCTACGACTGAGCAGAGGTTTTTTGCACAGGTGGAGTCGTCTATTAGCATTTCATTTCCGTCTACATCAGTTCCCAACTAATCTGTGAAGGGTTTGCAGGGAGAAAGTTGTTCATATTTTTGCATTGATAGATTACTGCATTGGCATCTCATTCACGTCTACATCCTATCACATCGTACCTATTGGTGGGTGAAATAGTAGCTCTCGGTATGTGAGCATCAAAGGGCCATTAAGACTGCGGGAGAGACAAACAAGGAAACGAGGGGGGAAGCGAAGTAGGGAGATGAAAGGGCAAGCGGGACTTTAGTCAGGGGAGAAAGGGAAGTGGAAGAAAAGAAGACAAAGGGTTGCGGAGGAAAGGGCCATTAAGACTGCGAGAGAGACAAAGAAGGAAACGAGGGGGGAAGCGAAGTAGGGAGACGAAGGGGCAAACGGGACTTTAGTCAGGGGAGAAAGGGAAGTAGAAGAAAAGGAGACAAGGGAGTCACGGAGGAAAGACAGACGGAGTACGTAAAGAGGGGAAGGAGTCGAGGAGGAAAGACGGACAGAGTAAGTAAAAAGGACACACGGAATGTTACGATGTTTGGTGAGGGAAAAGGAGAGCAAAGCTTGTCCGGAAAGAGAAGAGAAAGGAATAGCGCGGAGAGCAGTCGTCAAGAGAGGATTGAAGTATTCGGGGGAAATCCACTAAATCTGAAGAGCGAGTAATAGGACGCAGCTACAAGAGCTCGGTGGCTTCCCAGTCTTCACATGTGGGTAATATAGCTTTCACTCTTATAAACACGAGTTCAAAGGTGAGTTCATCCGAGAACACATTGAGCCTTCAACTGGCACATATAACCAAGGACTGTTCGAGAGTGCCATTTCTCTCACTGATTGGACGGCAAAAGAGGACGAGGAAGAGTGAAAGGGAAAGGCATTACGGGGGAAGATTGGGTCTGATTTAAAAAAAAAAAAAAAAAAAAAAAAAAAAAATGGCGTTCACGTACGTCATGGCAGCACAGAGGGCGGTCACTGAAAAGGACAGAAGGGAGAACGATCGCTTGAAGAATCAGGAAAGGAGTAATGGGGGTAGTGTATCAGCGTCTCAGGACACATCATTTGGGGGGGCTCGACCCACCCAATCAAGAGCCCTGGGTCAAAAGGCACTCGATTTTTGGATGGAAAAGACGAAAATCACAACCCCTGTTAAGATCACAAAGGAGGTCATAAAGGGGCAGGAGGGGAAGGAGGAGGAAGTAGACGTATGGGAGTATCCAGAGCAAGACCTGCAAACGTTGCACGACCTCTACGCTCGACACGCGGTCTTATTTAATTTCTCAGGCAAAAACAGAGAGTTGTCATTGAATGATAAGAGGAAATGGGTAATGGAGCGGCTCAGGGGACTAGAACACATCCCAGGAACTGAACCAGAAGTCTCATATCATAAAAGGGGTAGATTCACTGTGATGATAGTGTGTGTGGATCCGGCGTATGCGCAATTTCTTTTGTCACTCGGGTCACTCAGATGCCACGGATCGGTGGTCACGATTCAGCCATGGAAACCTCCCCAGCCACCACCGGCGGAAGCCTCAAGACATAGACAGAACATGATGAGAGAACATTTTTGGGTGCAGTTTGATAACCTGTCGGAAGGCATGCACAATTTCGTGCGGCAACGGTTAATGGAAGAATATCCAAACAACCCGATTATTGAATGGCTTCCAGCGAGTCCAGACTTCCTTGCTCCTAACCACGACTCTAGGGTGGTCTGCTTGGAAGTCAAATCGGGTGCGCCACCCAAATTCCCTGAGGTTTGGATTTTCAGAAGAAGAACAAAGCGCATCACAGTCTTCATCTCCACCAAATCCAATCCCTTCTGTTTCAAATGCAGGGGCAGAGGTCATATGGGAATGCACTGCCCACAGTCATGGACTGGATCGGGAGGGAGACAGCCACAGCTCAAACAATCAATGCTGATAGAGTCTGACAATAAGCCCGGGGTATGGTATGTTAACGCATCACAGTACAGGGGCTGGATATTTGATGATAACTTAGAGACTCCCGGATGGGTATGGGTTCTGAACACTATGCCAGCGATAAAACCGGATATTTACCCACCATACGACAGTCAAACAGGAGCGAAAAGGATGGAAGACAAGGAAGTGGGTTACATCACTAAACCTATGATCGATGATGCCACCGTGCTCGACGATAAACAGAGGTTACAGACCATGACAGAACTGCACAAGCTGGGACAGGAAGCGGAGCTGGCTTTCTTGGAAAACAAAAGCGCAAGGGAGGAAGCAAAGGAGGCAAAGAAAGTGGCAAAGGAAGAGGGAAGGAAGGACAGTGGTGAACAACAAAGCAGGGAGAGCGCAACTGAAAGAGATCATAACATGGAAGAGATGGAAGTGGGGGAGGATGGATGTACATCCACTACAGGGCAGGGTAGGAGGGTGGAGTCACAATCCTCTCTTAATAGGAAAATAAGTGATAGAGAGTCGACGAGGGGGGACAGCATAAGCCAAGGGCCCAAAAGGACACACGCAGAAAGAGGGGAGGGGGAAGCCTCCTCACAGCCAGGAAAGGATCAGGATTTGGGCAAAGAAGAAGAAGACCAAGGACACAACAGTGACCAGGGAGATGGGATGGAAGCCACTCCCCAGGCATCTGGGGAGTCCTCATCCTCATCATCGAACCATGAATCAGGAAGGAACGAAACAGCAGCAGGCAGCAGTTCCAAAACAACCCCAACGGGTGAGAGCACAAGGGAAGCAACAGAGGAAACAGTAAGAGGGGCGCATGAGGACAGGTCGGAGGAGGGAACGGACAAGATGTCACAGGATTTGAATGATGAAGAAGACGAAGAAGAGGAAGACAATGATGAGGAAGAGTGGGAAGATGCAGAACGAGAGGAAGAAGGAGAAGAAGAACCAGAAACTTTGGCTCAGTGGATCAGGACAGTGCATTAATTAAAGTGGGAAAGGCATATTGAATGTGAAATCCGTCTGGCTCACCACAAACATCTTCGAAACCTGAAACAGGCCACAGGAGCAGGAGAGGGTTTCACAACAACGAACCGCTTTGAATGGTTGAAGAAAGAACAGGAAGTCAATGAATTCTACGCAGCGCAGTACGCATGGAAGGCCAGACCAGATAATAATGACATTACGGTGCACAAGGCTGGATATGCAAAGCAGTTCGTATGGCCAAAAACATACCAGCCACAAGGCTTGAAAAGGTCAGAGCAGAAGCGCAAGATGCAGCAAGAAGCGGCGGACAAATCCAACAGTGGGGATCATGAAACAGACGAAGCAACCAATGGAAGAGAAGAGGACGAGCAGATGGAAGAGGAGAAGAGACAGGCAGCAATCCTGGAAGCGCGGATTAATGTTCTCAAGGATCAGAACAGGGAGCTGGAGGCAGACACTATAAACCTGCAGAAGATTGCTTCCTCATCGCACATGGACATAAAAGCTGCAGCAAAGCTCTACGCGAAACACAACCCGGGCAGGAGAGTCATCATTCCTTTCCGCTGGAACAATGGTAATTCGGATTGGGAAGTGGCTATTCAAAAGTCGCTTGCACTACTCATGGTAAACGAAACCCAATGTTCTCAGGATGTGCTCAAGGAGTTGATCTCTGACGACCTACCCAGGAAGGCACAGATATTGGGAAGCATCACACAGGACAGGGAGGAATGGGATGAAAAGGCTGGAGGTGGGTCTATGGTTGACTACAGGCCTATCATGATCAAATTACAGGAGAAGGATAGACTGGCGGAGGGTTTGGTCTGGATGCCATGGCAGGTGGTGGAGACAATACCGTACGGTCTCTTGGGAGGATTGGAGGCAGCGGAGTGGGTCGCGAGGGGGGCAGCAATAGTCACCAGGACGCAAGTCTTCTCGTGGTTACCGGATTACATTGCTAACAAGATAGCACCGCCGTCAACAGAGATAGACTGGTCTCAAACAGGTTCTTGAGGAGGTAGTTCTACAAGGGGAAGTAACAAGGAACATGACCAATGGAGGATGGTATGAGGGAAGAGATAGCTAAGAGAAGAAGGACAGGGACCAATGTAGGAAAGAGGGAGCCAGAAATTTCAATCATGTCATGGAATATTAACGGGATGGTACAGATCTTGGAGAATAAAGATAAATGGGACAATGTATTGAAGTATTCAAATTGGTTTGGAAGGAATCCACCAGATTTTCTATGTATACAGGAAACTCATCTCACAGATACTCCGGAACATCAACGTATTCAGCACCGCATCCTACAACAGCTAAGGTGGGTCAAAGCTAGCTTTTGGGGTACAGCTGCTAGATCACACTCAGCAGGAGTAGTAATAATACAAAACAAAAGGTCGTGGGCGGCAAACAAAATAGTTATACAAGATGTTACGGTAGATGAGGGAGAAGGACGTTGGATAAAACTCAACTTCGTATACCAGGACGAGTTACTCTCGCTGCTCACGGTTTACTGCCCAAATACAGGACACCAGAGGTCGGAAATGCTACAATCATTACAGACGCATATAGACGCAACAAGGCACCTCATAATAACAGGGGAGTGGAATGCCACCCTCGAACCAAGGATGGATAGATTGTTTGGAGGTAGATCAGGTTCGAGAGAGGGCTCGTCTTGGGATGAGGCCCTACCTATACATAACCTCATGACAACAAGGGACCTCATTGATCCTTATAGGCTGCACTACCCGGATCAGAAGCAATTCACCTTCTATAAAAGGAACCGTAGTCAGCACATATCTGCGTCTAGGATAGACTACTTTCTTATTTCGCAAGACCTAATTGGGACTCTGCATGCGGTTGGAATAGGGGACCCACCATACTGTAATTGCTTAGATCACAAGCCCATTTTCCTCCATCTCCATTTCAATAAACACATACAGAGGGGTAAAAGTTTCTATAAAGTCAATAATTCTCTGTTAAAAACCCAAGAGTTGAAAGAGGCTATACTGCAAGTATGTTTGGGTTATGATGAAGAAACACAATCGTTTGAAGACCTCACGAAGGCTTTATCAAAGGCAACGTTGGCAGTGGCTAGGCAGTTAACGTCGAGAAGAGCGGCTAGAGAAAGAGAGCTGCAACAGGCATTGCACATTGCAGAGAGAAACCTAATCAACAATCCGGGTATGGAAATGTACGAAAAAATAATAGACTCAGCTAGAAGGGAACTAGGGGACTGGGAGAGATGGAGGGCCAGGGGATTGCAGATGAGGGCTAGAGTAAGAGAATGGGAGGAGGGAGAAAGAATGACAAAGTTCTTCTTTCAAAAGATCAAAGCAAGAGGTAGAAATGCACTGATAGAACAGTTGGATGGACCACAAGGACTGGAATCTACTCCGATGGGATGCTAACGGTAGCCTGCAACTTTTACAAAGACCTTTACACTTCAAGAGAAGTGGATCAGGAACAACACCAACTAAAAGAAGTCAGAAATAAGTTTTTGGCTTATCTAGACTGCACGCTGAAAGAGGACCAAACACAAATGTTGGACGCCCCTTTAACCCAAGAAGAACTGAGAGAAGCCCTTCACTCAATGCCTCCTAACAAGACTCCAGGAAGGGACGGGCTCACCAAGGAGTTTTGGCAAGAATTCTGGCCCATTCTAGGAGGGGAATATGAGGCGTTCCTAAATCAGGCATGGCACAAAGAAGGCCTTGGCTTGGAATCCTCGTTGGGAGTTGTTACCCTTTTATACAAGAAAGGGGACCCCAAGATTATCAGAAATTATAGACCAATTACTCTTTTAACACTCACACACAAGATAGTGGCAAAAGCACTAACGAATCGTTTGAGAAAAGTCACAAATAGATGTTTTCATCTGGACCAAACGGGTTTCGTACCCGGAAGATTTATTTTGGACAATGTCATGACGCTATCAGAATCGGTTAGATATATTAACAATAAGAGGATCAATGCAGCAATCCTTTTCTTTGATTTTGAAAAGGCTTACGATCAGGTAAATTGGAATTTTTTACAGCTTTGCATTGAAAAGATGGGAGTAGGCCCTAACTTTCGTAAGTGGATTCGTGTTTTATACAATGACGCACAAGGACAGGTCCAACTCAATGGTCATCTTTCGGAAAAATATAGCCTTTTTCTATTCATTATGGAGGCAATAACCTCCTTCCTTAGAAAAGACCCCTCTATAGACCGTTTGATAACAGAACCGGACCAACAAGGACGCATCATAACATTACCCACGACGATATTATTTACGGATGATCTCACAGTCCTCATTAGAGCCACGGACACCTCATTCCAGGCCCTCACAAGAGCCATGGAGGCCTTTCAATTGGCATCGGAAATGAAGATTAACTGGCCTAAAACAGTAGGTTGGTGGCTCTCACATCAAGATCAACACAATCAATCCCTGCCCCCCAATTATGGAGGCATGTCTTGGCTACCGTCAGATCAACCACTGAGATACTTGGGGATTAGGCTAGCTGACACGGGTCCCCATCACTCCATGGCACCGGAACAAATGGCGAAAATGTTAGCTAAAATGTCTGCTTGGTCGGAGATTTACACATCACTGTTTGGGAGGGCATTAGTGTTAAACGCTTCCATTTTCTCAATGGTATGGTATGTCGGGACGATATGGACTTCACCATCACAATCGCTACACAAACTTACAAGGAAGGCAGCTGCGTTTTTATGGACGGCGAACCCGGATAAGACCAATTTCATATCAAAGGTAGCTTGGAGGCAAGTAATTCAATCAAAGGACCAAGGAGGGCTGGGTATTTTAGATCCCGCCCAACAGATCAGAGCACTTCAAACTAAATGGGTTATCAAATTACTGACGCAACCCCACCTGAGATGGGTCCCCCTAGCATTGGAACATATACGGGGATTGGCGAGATACACAACTCCACCAAATATGGAGGGCACGTTCTGGCTATTCTTTAAGGGTTGGGCCAAGAAAGCAACAACAAGAGCACAAGGGGGTGGTGAAAATGAAGCTAGGTCTTCATACTGGGCCCGCATTCTCAAGATATGGGCTGAGGTTTTCCCGGCAAGAGTCAGATATCCAAGAACGAGAGAGGAGGTTCTCAGGCAGCCTTTATTTTGTAACCCCTGGTTGAAGGACTCACAGGGAAAACCCAAAACACTTACAGCAAAGGATGCCAAGTGGGGGAATTGGTTGGAGCATGGCGTATGGCAGGTAAAGCATCAATGGTCACAGGCATATAATAGGTGGAAAACGGGGAGGGAAATGAGGGAAGGAATGCAGGGTTGTCACAGGCTAACTGAGAACTTGGATGAAGTGCTTAACTCCATACCCCAAGAATGGACACAAATATTGAAAAGACCGTTTAAATGGGGCACGGGTGGTTGGGCAACTTGGATCTCAAGCTCGGAACCAGAACAAGCGTTCCGCATTCACCAGGAGGAAGGCCCAACCAAGGAGTGGTTGGAGGCAGACATGTATCCAATCCTAAGCCCAGGCTTTATGGTTAGTCCATTGGACAAAGAGACAAGGGTATCAATAGCCATCAACAAAAGTTTACTCACGAAAGTAAGGGTCATCGAGATTGATGAATTCACAATTTTTGCTCCCACAACGCCTATTTAAGATCTGGAAATTGATCCAGTACACTGGGCTTGGAACATGAAAGAGAATGGTTCAAGGATAGGTAAGAGGGTTAACATACTCCACTACACAACTAAATGGGGGTATAGATTAAGAACGAGATCAACCCAGTTGGATCAACCTCTAGCAATGAGATGGGAAAAAAGGGTGGGAATATCAAGACAGCAAATACGAAAATTGCCGTGGTCGATTTTGCACACCATCACGCTGAATAAGGTCCGAAGTATGCAGTGGCTCATATTTCATGTCGCACTACCAGTCAACGCTTGGCTATACGAAAAACGAAGCAGGAACAATAGAGACGACAGGGAGAAAAATTGCGTCATGTGCACCAAAGGAGTACCCAAAACCTTGCTTCATTGCCTTCTGCTATGTCCGGAAGTGGAGTATGTTTGGTCTATAGCTCGAACCCTGTGGGATCACACATCGGAATTTGCATTCCCAAGGAGCAAAAAAGTCAATCTTACAGGAACGGAAGTCCCGAGAAGTTGGCACTCCAGCCATAAGTGCATTTACCAGTTATTGAGACAATACGCATTATGGACTATTTGGAAAAGAAGATGTCAACAAGTGATAGGCAAAAATCCGTCAACCAGAATGGAAGCTCGAGCAACACTACATAATCTGCTACAAACGGACATTACAGCTCAATGGCAACGAACCAGGAAACAGGCAGCGGCTAACCCCGAAAAGGCTAGGGATATTGTCACGAAATTTCAGAACAGGGTATTGGCCAAAGGTAAAGTGGCTTCAATAGAAGGACACAGGCTGATCTTYCACTGGTTCAGAGAGGACCAACAAGACATGGCAAACGGACATCAGGGACAGACACAGCAACTGGCCTCACCATGAACAAGGGAAGTCAATCTGGRGAACAACAGCAATGARAACAAAGGGAAAGGTCAACTCTCTCTACTTATGGGTAAATCCATAAGAATAGGCAAAAAAGGGCAAAACCCTCTAGAAACCTTACTGATTTAATAGAAAAAGATACAATCT